TGCCGAGAAAATAAATATATAGCTTTTAATAGGCTTCCGGCCATATCACGTTGAAAAATCTTCTTCTATATGCAGTGTCCCTTCAGTGTTCCTTCCGCATCCATTCACTCAAGACTTCCAGGTATGTTTTGCGTTGTTTTCCTCCATCTTACTTAACTTCAATTTATCCTGTGAGTATCAAATTTTCCAAGTTCTCTTTCCTCTTCATGTGCCCCAGAAATTCCAAATCTCTCTTCCTGACGTTAAACATAAGTATCCTTTTGGTTGCCATTATCGTTAGTACTTCATCGTTACTCACATGTTCGGGCCATGGTATTCTCAGCATCTTTACTAAAACTTGTTAATGTTAAATATTTTTCTATAAGTTTTCCTATACATTTTTTTATAAATTTTTCTATAAATTTTTCGGTAAATTTTCCTACAAATCCTCCCATAATTTTTTTATAAATCTTCCTATAAATGATATAAAAAACATAAGCTTTGACCGTTTTTTTTTTTTCTGGAGAAAAGTATTTGTCTTTATTCTACAAAATATTTGATTTATCGTTGTTTTCTTGTTGTTTGCTTGCTATCGCTAGATTTCAGTAGATAGGTTCTTCTGCCTCCTTCACTTATTTGTACCTCGAACAATTCTTGAGTATCTGCCATTATTTTTCGTTCCTATAAGAAAATGAAACCTATTTGAAGACATCATTCCGAATAATTTGAAACATAAAAAATTGTGTAAGTTCAGTTGTACAATATGCGTTTCGACCAACATTAAGCATTTTTTCTTCTCCAATCTTTTCCTTATTACTATAGTGTAAGCACTCTAGATTACAAATATAAAAGAAAAACTGTATTAAATTCTATAAAAGTTAACACGGAGTGCAGTTCGCTTTGTAAATTCATTGTAAATTGTTCCCTCTTTAGAAGCTAAAACAAATATACTCATACCACGTGATTTCTTTAAAATGTTTCAAATTAAATTAAAATCTGTAATCTGGAGTTATTTTTAAAAAAAATATATTATCATCGATCATGCACTCCAGATTATGAACGAAAAAAAAACAAAAAAAAAAACGAAAATATTCATTTTTTTTATATATCTTAAGAAAACACCTCGTATAAACATAATTGGGAACACAGTGGAGAAATCGGAGAGCCGAGTTCGAATTCCAGTCGAATCCATTAAATTGACTTACGTGCTAATAACCCTGGGAAAGGTATGAATCCTCTTCTTCTCCCCTCAGCTATGGGTAAATAGCAGGACAGAACGGGTTATATAGCCTTGGATGGCAACTGGTCCAGCGCAGAAAGAAATAGAAACCTACATTGGGAAAAAAATCTGCCTCGTCAGTCATGTATCGAAAGATATATGATCGCATAAGCGTGTATCACGCATGGCACATAACTGACTGACTGAATATACTGTGGTGTTTATGAGATTGAATTGGATTCAAATACAATTTCACAGTTCAGATACCTTAACTTCATCCAAAGAGTTATTTTTCAGCTCTTTCTCTTTTGGATAAAAAAGAATAGGTGTTATATGCCATCAGATATGGTAAATATACTATACTAGCAGCATGGCCCGGCGTTGCCCGTGCTTGATTCAAAAATCGTACGACTCATACAGCAGTCGCTATCACTTGACTTAAAATATTTTTGCCCTTCCTTGCCTTTAAAGGAGTGCCCTTTGCCATGCTGATGTTGCTACATGCTTTACTTCTCACACTGCGAATTTTTTCTAAGCTCTATACTAAATATTAAATCTGTTACGAAAAAAGAACTAAACAAAATGAACACAAAACGACCAGCTTTAAAAAAGGACTCATAACTGGAAAAACCGAATGAAAAAATTTGTTAACAACAAATACTTTTTCACACCCAACCCAGTTCTGAATCAACGTTGAGTTTAAGCAAGCGAATGAGCCAATTGGAGTAAAGTGCCATGCAGGTTTAAATTTTTCCCACTTGTGGCGAATGTGGCTATCGATTTTTTAGCATGCTATCATGATAGTTAAAATTCGTGTCAGTCAGCTGTTGGCTCTCACGCTGGCCAATAGAATCTTCCTGCCTATTCGTGGCAGCCAGCTATAGTCTCTCACTCTGGCCAGTATAAAATGGCCGCAAACTACATGAAAACTGATGTAGAAGCATGAAAAAATCGATAATTTCCACTATCGATGGGAGTTGGGAAATGCAAAGTCGGTCTTGGCATTTCCCGCTAACTTGGAGCATGTGCATGTAAATTTTGGTGCAAATCCGTCAAAAATTGCGGCCGTGCATTCGTTACATACATACACACACACACACACACACATACACACATCCTGCCTTTTATAGATAGAGATTTGGTTAATCTGGAATATTTTCATTATGTTCATTATAATTTTTTTTTATTTAAGTGTTTTTAGTTGTATATACTCTCAAGGAGGAGGCACGGTGGAGTAATGGATAGTGGCTTGGATTGAGGAATTGGAGAGCCGGGTTCGAATTCCAGTCAAATCCATTACATTCACTTACGTGCTAATACTTTTGGGAAAGGTATGAATACTCTTCTTCTCCCATCCAACTATGGGTAAATAGCAGGACAGAGCGAGTTCTATAGCCTTGGATGGCAACTGGTCTACCGCAGAAAGAAATGGCAACCTCCATTGGGAACAAAAAAATCTGCCTCGTCAGTCATGTATCGAAAGTGTATCACGCATTGAACATAACTGACTGTTAAGCATAATTTCAACGTAATATCGCCGTAAGCGCATTAAAAACTATTTAAATATGTTCAGCACATAAAAGCATAAGGGTCAGTAGGAAACAAGGTAACCAAAGAAAGTGTGAGGTAGAATCACACCAGAATGGAGTCTATTTGGAAGAGAAATTGTTTGATATTTGAATTATAAAATGAAATTAGTTGAATTCTTCTTTATTTTTATACCACGTGACGTACTTTGACGGTCAGCGGGGATTATACTTTGAAAGATTTCAGTTTGGTTAATTTTATTTTCTATGTGGCACAGACCGAAGATCGAACTCGTTACTCATGATTAGCTAACCTCGTTAAACATTACTCCATACCAAGGCGCCTTAGAAGTTGAATTTTGTAACATGAAGAAAGACAAAGACGTTTGATTAATTGTAAACTTCTCAGATTTTCATGTCTTTTATTGCATGGGTCTCGGGAATGTTTCAAGAAATCTAATAATTTGAGGATTATTTTTGTTGTGTTTTCTTCTTTTCCTTTTCCTCCTCCTCATTTCCTCCTCCGCCTCCTCTTCCTCTTCATTCTCCTCTTCCTCCACCTCTTCCTCATTTTCCTCCTTCTCTTCTTCCCTCTCCTCTTCTTCCTACTCTTCCTCTTCTTCCTCCTCTTTTTCCTTTTCCTCCTCCTCTTCTTCCCTCTTCTTCTCCTTCCTCCTTTCACCCCTGTTTATAATTCTTGTTCTATAATTTTATCTACTTTTCTCATTTTTAATTTTTTATCAGTTTTCCGCCTCCATTTTGTTCTAGTCATCTTCTGCATACATCATCTTTTCTCCACCTACTCTTCTTCTTCTTCTTATCCTCATCCTCCTGCTCCTTCTTCGTCTTCTTCTCCTCCTCCTCCTCCTTCTTATTCTTCTCCTCCTCCTCCTCCTCCTCCTTCTTCTTCTTCTTCTTCTTATCCTCCTCCTCCTTCTCCTTCTCCTCCTCCTCTTCTTCTTCTCCTCCTCCTCCTCTTCTTCCAATTATTCTCTTTATACTTTTGTTTCCTTTTACTTCCGTTTTATAATTCTTATTATTATCGACTTCCTCTTTTTTCATTTTTATTGCCATTTCCCTCCTATTATTTCTTTGAGCCATCTTCCTCTTATATCATATTTTACTCCTCCTTCTAATCATCATCATCATCATTATCATCATCATCATCTTCTTTTTATTTCTTCTTCCTCTTCTTCTTCTCTCTAATTTACATCCTCTTTTTTTTATCTTGCATAAATCACTTCACGTTTTCTTTCTATTCCTCGTCTACACCCACTAACTTTATCTTCCTCCCCTTACTTTTTTCTCTCATTTTTATACACTTTCATTTTCACCATTCTGTTGGGCCACTTTTCTTGATCCACTCCCTGCTCTTGCATTTGTCTTTTCTTTCCACTTTTGCCAGTTACCACCGTCTCCCCACTTGCATTGCTCTTGTCACTCATAACAATTTTTACAGGTTATCATTTCCACAGTTAAATCCGTTCCCTCAACTCGATTTCGCTTCTCTCTTTCACCATCGGTTCGTTTCCCACTTCTGCCATTTATTATTCTTAAAATACTGCCCCTGACTCTTATACACGGTTTTGGTCTTTCTGTATTTTTCTTCATTCTCTATCGTTTCCTCACTTCCTTTGGTGCCACGCCATTTTCGGGATCTGGTTCCTCACGATAAGAAACTCTACACGATCTTATGTACATCAGTAGGAGGTTCCTTCGAAGAAAATAAATTGAAAAGCACTATCAATACGCCTTTTATAAGTTACGTTTTCTTTCTTAGCAATCACTTTCCTCTTTCGTCCATTTTCCGTAATCCCTATCAATTTATTTATTTTTTTTTTGTAAAATCATCTTTTCCCTTTATCGTTTTAATTTTCTTCTCTTGTTTTTCTTTCCTTTTGTTCCAAAATTGTCACTTTCATTATCTTATCTTTTTTTTATTTCACAATTCCCTTTGCTTTTCACACTTTGTCTTTCTTTCCATATTTTAGATGAGTCGAAGTATTTGTTAATAAGGCAGCAACGTCAAGATGGCTGAGGTCAGTGACTTATGACATTCTTCGTACTTCTTTATAACTTCTTTCTATCAAAAACCGCCACATTCTTTGTCTTTATCCTCTTCCAACTATCCCATCAGACCTTGCTTACTAATTTTCACCCTTAACCTCTTACTTATTCTTTTTTTTTTTTTACTTTCTTCTTCGCTTCTTCTTTTCCATTCTACCTTACGTATCCAGTTCACCTCTGCTATCCAAACACTACCCAACATTAATTCAATGTTCTTTTACTCTTTTTACCATTACTTCACGCCCATCATCGCTCTCTTTATTCGCTTCTATCATTTTTGCTCTCCCATCCCCTTGCTCTCCGCACTGCTTACTTTACAATTTTTGTTTCCTTACTCTCCCCACACCTAAAGTCTTCGTTTCTTTGCGTTTGATCTTCCAAGCCTTCAACTGTGCTCTTGCTTGACATACAATGTTTTCCGTCGCCTTTGATCCGGGGCCGCTGCATCTTTGGAACGCAAATCTCATGCCTCATCTTACCGGTACTTTTATGCTAATTTTGTTGCTTTTAAGTATAGTCCTTGTGTTGTTCTCTGTACTTGCACTTTTTTCTTTTGCCTTGTCGCTCTTTTGTGTTCTTTCTTTCTTTCGAGAACCACGCCTCCTTTTTACGACATTTTGCCTTTCTTACTTTATTGGTCAGATTCCGCCTTTTCCAGTTCCGCCTACCATTCTGCTGCTTTTTAAAAAATTATTTTCTTAACTTCATTGTCTTTGAGTTTCACTTTATTACCTCCTTCATTCTCTCCTTTCTTTCTTTTCGGCGTTTTCATTCCTATTCTGCATTTCTTCCCTTTCTCTCTACATTTTTCTCTCTGTGTGTTCTTTCTTTTTTTTCTTTCTTTTTTTCATTTTCCTATCGAGTTTTTTTTTTCTAATTTAGTTTCTGCTTTCTTTCTTTTTACCTTTTCATTTTTTCTTTTTTCATGCTTCCATTTTTCTTTCTCGCCATTTTCTTTCGTTCTTTCTTTTTACTTTTTAAATTCTTTCTTTCCATTTCTTCTTTCGTTTTTCTATTCCATCTACTTTCCTTCGACTTTTTGTTTCTTTTTCTTTCTTTCTTTCAACTTCTTAATTTCTTTCTTTTCCAGTTTATCTTTAATTTTTCATTCTTCTTTCCTTTGAGTTTCATTCTCTACCTTTGCTTCTACCTTTTTTTCCTTTCTAATTTTCTTTCAAACTTTTTTCCTTTATTTTGGATTCTTTTTCCACATTCGGTTTCCCTATTCTTTCTTTCTACTTTTTCATTTCTTCGTCCATTTTCTTTCTTTCTTCTTTCTTTCTCTCTTTTATTTCTTTATCTATCAATGCTTCGCTCTACTCATCCAACACTTCCCATTGTCGCGCCTTGTATCTCCCCACAACCCTTCCTTTTTATTTATGCAGATTACGAAACCTCTCATCCTTCACACATTGTCTTTATTCTATTTTATTTTTTATCTGGTCACTGTATCATTTTCGTCATCAGTACTCATCATGACATCATCAGTATCAGTGGCCTAATCATTAAGACGACATTTAAAAAAAATACCGCCATTAAAATCATCGTTATAATCATCGCCATTGGAAGCAGAAATATTTTAACCTTATGTTCATCATTATCAGCATCGTAATCACGATAATAACAAGAAACTTCCTTTAATGACACCAGCTGCAGCTCTTTAACAAGGACACCGTCTTTATGACTTTGCTTTGCTGATTAAAGAGGAAAAGTTTTATGGAATCTTTTGTTAAACTATAATAAAGTTAATAAGTATCGTAATCGTTGAATTAATGAGCATAATTCTAACATTATTATTATTATTACGACCAAGTGCATCTACTGGAAAGCGAGAGTTACTTATTTAACCTCATAAAACACTGGAAGTGAGTTCGATCCTCATTCAATCCTTCATCAGTTTTCTGTCAGAGTTGGATAATACAGGGAAATAACCATTACGCTGGACAAAAAAATCATCCATTTTTTTTTAGATAGCATTAGGAGAGTTTAACTACAAAACAAAAAGATCGCTTTTGACTGTATTTATGATATTGGTTTGTTTTTTATGGCTTATCAACTCTTTGCAGGTTATTTAAATCCAAAATTGCTTTTATACAATAAGAAATATTTGATATTTGAAAATAATGAGGATTTACTGATACAAGTTGCATTAACCCATACCTGGGGGGATGATGTGGACCCATACACTTCCCAAGGTTATTTGCGTATATGGGAATATAATGAACCAGACTGTAATTAGAATTTGTCCCTCCTGTATTTATGATCGCTGTCATGTTGGGTTTCATGTTTTCAATGTCATAATTGTTGTATTTTTGTTTATTTATTGTAACACTGAAGAAAATAAGCAACATTTTTGGCATATTATATTGTTATTTTATTTCAAGAAAGGCACAAGTTTATTGGGATGTCAACATAGCGTAGCGGTTATTGGGTTAGAAAGTGGGATTGATGAGATGAGTTCAAATCACAAGCGTGACTATTGCATTCGCCTTTACACTAATAGCCTTGGAAAAAATACCTCTTCCCGACTTATTTAAGAAATAATAGCAGGGCAAACTGGGTTCTCTTTTTTTTTAATTATTTCACCACAAGAAAGGTGATAATGTCACTAAGAAGCAAGGGGGTTACTGGGAATTAAAGTGAATGAAAGGTCTTTAGTGAAGAGAAAGAACAATAAAGGAACAGGATTCAGGAAGACAAAAGATGGCGATGGAGATTGAATTTAAATTTTTGAATGTTGTAGGTGAAAGGGAAGCAAGAAACAGGAAGATGTCCACAGGCGGGAAATACAAGTTTCTAGGTTTGATTGGCAGCCAAACTAGAAGGGTAACTATGAATTCAAAACCGCTTAAAGATGGGCCTAGCAACTCCATCCTATACAAACCTACTTGCTATAGAAACCACAACAGCAGATAATGAGGCTTATTAGTCTGACAAAGTCAAAATGGCAGCCGATGTCCAAAATGACTTCAAATCCGCAATTAACTGGCGCAAAAGATGGCTTGTTAATTTTAACGCCTCTAAAACTAAACTTCTCTCCATTATTCATCTTAGGGACCCGTCTCTGCCTTCCATCAGCATGGCTGATGCTACCCTCCAGGAAAGTGACTCGTTGCACCATCTGGGGCTCACGTTCTCAACTGACATGAAGTGGAAAGACTATATTGAATCTATTGCTAGGTCAGCTGCTAAGAAAGGCAGTTCACTATGTCGAGAATATTATGCTACATATACTGAGAATATTATGCTACATATACTATTTACATTGAGTCCCTTGATAAGATCCAAAGAAGAATCTGCAATATTATTGGTCCTGATCTGGTGGCTCGGCTTCAATCACTTTCCCACGTGGGGGGATAGCTAAGCTAGTAGAAATATCCAAATGAAAGGTAGAAAAACATTTGGAGCAGACTGATCATGTCATTTGCAAAATATTGAGGTAGGCTTCTTTTCTTTTATATGCCAAGTACCTTTTGGAAGTAAGCATAATGACTCTCCACGGCGTTCTGTCTTTTGTTGATCTGTGTTATTTTTGACATTTTACCGTCCCCTTTGACTGTTCTGCTATCGATTCACACAAACTCATTATGATGTTCTCTGTATATATATATATATATATATATATATATATATATATATATATATATATATATATATATATATGGATATATGAAAAATGGAAAATTTAAAAAATATCAAGAACATGTAGATTTTTATATGAACCATGTTTTCTGTGTTTACATGAAGAACTTGAAATCATCAGATTTTTTGACAAAAAGAAGAGAATTAACAGTAAAGTGTAAGCATATTTTACCGTTTACCTTACAATTTAGATAAACTTTGAAATTTGATAATGCGTTTTCTTATATTTTAATTGTACTGTGTTGCATTATATATGGTTTAACTTTGTATTTGTAAAATTAAGCTGGAGTTAATATAATTTTGTATTTATTTCCTGGTAGTATTGGTAACATCTTGTACAGATGTATTGGTATTTGGTGGCTATTTTTGACATTTTACATAGATTGGTTAGTGTTGTTAACATCTTATATGAAAGATCTTTACGTAACAGTTGCATATTAATTTACCAAATAATTCTATATGATTAAATTAGTTACTAGTTTCTTATAGAAGCTATTTATTTATCAACTACAAAAAAAATTTATATAGGAAATTTACAAAGCATATAAGCATTTGTTAAATTACCTCTCCACACTATTTTTATTTCTTAGGAAACTGCAATGTCTGGTTTGTATAATTTATGTAACCATTTGTATCTGCTATAGTTTATGTCTCGCTGTCGTTAACTGCCAATCTACGGGTCATGACCTATTCATAAAACATAATTTCTAATTTTTGCTTCTTCGCTTAGTTTAAATTTAACGTAGGTGATATTTGATTGGTTGATCAGAGTAAAGCCTACAAACCTTATAACCCCCTTTTTTTCGTAAAAAGAGGTTGTATTTTGCTTTTAAATCTAAATAAATTGTTCACTCGCCAGTAATTTACAATCGCCTAATGAGATGCATTTGATACACATTGAAACACGACTGCAGTTGTGTAGCGATTTTTACATTTTTCAGAGTAATATCCTAATATATATAATATATATATATATATATATATATATATATATATATATATATATATAAACTCCTAAATGTAGCCGTCTCTTCTACTCTAATAACTTCATGTCTCGCACCTCTCGCCTGTGGAACTCTCTTCCCTTCTCCTGTTTCCCTGTGAGTTATAATCTCCAGCTATTCAAGTGTAATGTCAATCGACATCTCCAGTTGCCCTAATCTATCTACTACCTCATCCTATCTTCTATCACTCCTATCTGATCTTCCTATTTTCTGTAACCCCTTGCGTCCTAGTGGCTTCCTGCCTTGCTTGGAGTGAAATGCTTAAAAAATATATAATATATATATATATATATATATATATATATATATATATATATATGTGTGTGTGTGTGTGTGTGTGTGTGTGTGTGTGTGTGTGTAAGGAATTAATGGAATTTTATTCGACATATTTTTATTACTTCAAACGATAATTTTAGTAGATACTGGTATTTGAGTAGACGCACTGTTTTATATTAAACGGTATTTATTTCGTCTACCGGCCTGCCCAGCACTCGAGAAAATTTAAGAAAGAAAATTGGGCTTGAAGTACGTCAAATTATGTTGCTTATTATAAATATTAAATTTAATCTATTAGCCAGTAACTAAAATGTACGTTTCAAGAAAGATTTTTCATTCGTAAATATAATTTTCGCGTTTTTTTTTCTTTATATATATATATATATATATATATATATATATATATATATATATATATATATATATATATACAAGGGTTGGACAAAATAATTGTAACAGTTGCAAAATCCACCCTATATTTCAAAGACCTATCTATTGTAAATACATTTATTTATCTAATTTACTCTCTTTGTCTTATTTATTTTTAGAGTTTAGTAAAATTTAAGCTAAATTCGTTGGAGCTCGCATGGCAGGAGCCTCGATCACTAAGATTGCTGAATTGTTTGGTTTTTCAAGAGCTACCATATCAAGAACACTGATGCAATTCGAGAAACAGGGCAAGACCTCTTGCAACCGTAGCAATTCAGGCCGGGCTTGCAAACTTACTGACAGGGACTGACGTGAATTGAAACGCGATGCTGCAAAAAATCATCGGACAAACGTGGCCAAAGTGACTGCTGAGTTGAATAACCATCTGAATAGTTCAGTTTCTACTAAAACTGTTCACTGTGAGCTCCAGAAGGCTGCATATCATGGAAGAGCAGCTGTGAGGAAACTTCTCTCCACTCGCAACATTCAAAAGAGGTTGAAGTGGTGCAGAGATCACAATGCCTGGTCTGCAGACCAATGGAAGCAAGTCATATTCTCAAACAAGTCCAATTTTTCTCTTTTACCAACTTCAGGGCGAGTTCATGTGTGGAAGCAACCCAAAGAAGCTTACAACTCTGACTGCCTTCTTCCAACAGTGAAGCACGGAGGTGGATCAGTGATAGTTTGGGCCGCCATATCATGGAAATGTCCAATAGTTGCCCTGCATGGTAGAATCAACAGCAAAGGTTACCTGAACATTTTGGAAGACCATGTTCATCCAATGGCCAAGACTTTATTCCCTGATGGTGACTGCATCTTTCAAGACGATAATGCACCAATACATACCGCTCGAGTGGTTAAGAATTGGTATGAAGAGCATGAAAATGAGATAGAACACATGGAGTGGCCTCCCTAATCTCAAGATATCAATATTATTGAACATTTGTGGTGCATTTTGGAGAAACAAGTTAGGAGCTGCTATCCTCCACCGTCGTGTCGTAAAGAGCTGAAGAAGGTTTTAATGGAAGAATGACTGAAAATTCTTCTGGATGAAGTCAGGAATCTGTATGATTCCATTCCTAGACGTATAAAAGCTGTATGTGAGGCTAAAGGAGGACCAACTCCATATTAATTAAATTTTCTTTGAATTTAACAAGTGTTCCAATTATTTTGTTCAACTCCTGTATATATATATATATATATATATATATATATATATATATATATATATATATATATATATATATATATGTACGTACATGCGTATGTACATACATCCACACACACACGCATATGCACACACACACACACACACATATATATATATATATATGTATGCAGACATTATATGAAAATTGCGAAAGGGTGAAACTGATAGTCATCATGCTGAGACTACGTCCACACTGTCTCGATCTACAAAAGCATTCCACCTTAGTTATAAAATTGTATATATATTTAAATTACCAAAATTACATCTCATTTTAAAATATCTTGAAATACTACATTCAATTAAATTCGCCATTGATTCCAATTTCGGCCCGCAGACAAATTCGGACTCTCCTGCAATTCTTCTGGACGATGTCCTTGTTTAAGTTTAAGTGACTGCTGCCATAATCCTTACCTTCAGTTCATCTTTGATGCTACAAGGAATTTTGTTGTTCTCTCGCTCAACTGCGCCCCAAACATAACAACCAAGGGCGCCACTGTCTGTGCAGTCAGTTGGCCATATGTAAAGGGTAATGCAGTTGCAGGAATTGTCTGACAGCCATGACTGCTTGTGTGGCATCTTGCAGAGTCCTGTTGCCAGGCATAGGGTCTTCCAGCAGCCATCCTCTTGACCCAGGGCAGCACTACCTCTTCAACGCACTTGACATCCGTAGACAGCCGTGTTGAGTGTGTGGCCCTGTATGAAGAGGAATTTGAGGCAGAACATCACCATCACTAGTGATCACTCCAAACACCGTGATGCTGACTCTTTACGAATCCTCTGTATTGCCCTCAGATTGCCACCCAAACATTTTGAAAAGTTCGTATTGGAGCTTCCGTCGCGAATGACAAGGAGTACAGCGTACCGTTTCCAAATTTATGGCAGAGTGAATTACGTTATGGTGCTCTTATTCTCAACTGATCCCACTACATTGCGCAGTCGACTAAATCAAGAACAAACAATTCGAATGCGCGAAATTAAAAATATAAAATGGCGACAATTTACCAATTGCACCCTGTGTATGTGTATGTATGTGCATGTACTTATATCTTTGTTTGTAATGCTTTTTTATTTCTTTTGTTCTTTTTTCTAGTTTTCTTTTTTTCATTCTTTCTTAGTTTTTCCTTTCTTTTCCTTTCTTTCTTAGTCTTTCCTTTCTGTCTTTCTATCTTTCTTTGCTAATTTTTCCTTTCTTCCTTTCTTTCTTAGTTTTCCATTTCTTTTTTTCTTTCTTTCTTTCTTTCTTTCTTTCTTTCTTTCTTTCTTTCTTTCTTTCTTTCTTTCTTAGTTTTTCATTCCTTTCTTTCTTTCTTATATTTTCTTTCTTTCTTTCTTTCTTTCTTTCTTATTTTGTTTCTTTCTTTCTTTCTTGTTTGCCTGCTTTTCCTATATTTCATTCCGTCCAAACTAAGACAAACTAAAATCTACCTAAATATCGCCATACAGTGGACATTCTACCAAAATGGCTTGCTTGGTACCAATTTTATTGTGAAAGCATTGGCTTCATTAACTGGCACATGGTGTAGAGCAATAAAAATGGCTTAAATTACATTTCCCATTTCTATCAATATATAAACTATGCAATATTCTAAATTACAAACATAAAAGAATTTTAATTTGTTTTTACTCAATTTATCCTTGAGAATTTTCATTTAACCAGTTTCTTTGTTCAGCGTTACAGACGTACATTGCTGACTCAAAAGTTCTGCCTTGATAACAACCAGGCCTAAAGTTATTACTGTTTAATTTACTAACGCAATGTATTCTTATAGTCGAAATATCTATCTTTATTGCAAATATAAAGTAATTAAACGAATGCTAAATTTGGGAACTTTTCATTTCACATAATCACCAAGATAACATTTCCTTTAGAATGCATGGACGTGAGAGATTAGAGCAGATACTTGGACGTTTATGAAAAAAAGCTCGTGTTTATTTGACTAAATATTTAATACCCGCATATATATATATATATATATATATATATATATATATATATATATATGCAAGGCAATTCAAGGAAGGAGATTTGGGTCACTAACACAAAAAAGCGAATGTCTAATATCGAGAATATTTAACATCGAAAAACATAATTCTTTTTTAATAATATGTGGAAAAATCCACTCTTGCGAGACCGGAAACACTGTAGCAAAATTATGGAAAATAAAGCATAATATATTTTTTTAAATCCACATTGTAACCAAAAACGTTTGCGGTTTCTCTTCTTTGTAATATACACTTTTCTCTCTTTGGAACTACTATAACTTCTTCCTTTATATATATATATATATATATATATATATATATATATATATATATATATATATATATATGCGCGGTACTTAGTGTAAAGCGATCAATATCAGTGATAGAGCTAACATAATATGTTGTATGGATATGAGTTTGTAACCCTGGGTTTCACGCTTTTTGTTTGTCTGATGATCGCAAAAGTGTGAAACCCAGGGTCACAATATCCATTCCATACAACTTATTATATATATATATATATATATATATATATATATATATATATATATATATATATATATATATATATATATATATATATATATATATATACTACTGTACTGATGCGGCATTCACCCTGGGCGGATTGAGCCGGCTTCTTCCTGTTATTAGAAGAAGATTCTTGGGATAAATTACAGAAGTAGGGTACCCAGGCCTACTCGAATAACGTTCTTGCTTGCCGCCGGGTTCCCACAGACGCAGAGACAGGAACGACCAGAAGCCGCCGGTTACCGATGCAGACGCACCTTGGATTTTCACCAGAGCCCTTGTTAGCCGGCGTGTGTGTCAGACCTGTCCGCCTTGGGTGGCCCTACCAGGAACGAAGTACCGGGCGGCATAGCGTTTACAACTGTGAGGTAAGGGTTGAACTTTGGGGGCTTACAGTATCAGGTGTTCCCAAGCGGTCCCCCATCTAAATACTGACCTGGCTCTACGATGCTTAACTTCGGTTATCGAACGAGAACCGGTGTTTCAGCATATATATATATATGATTATTTTTATTTTTATTATATATATAATAAAAATAAAAATAATTAATAAGAACACCAGATTATATATCTTACTGTTCTTTCTCTTTATATATATATAGAAGGGTGTTCCAATAACTTGGACCGATTTTTAAACTTAAATCACATTTAAAATAGGTCCAAGTTAATGGAACACCCTATATATATATATATATATATATATATATATATATATATATATATATATATATATGAGTCTGACAAGCAGTTACTAATGGAAAATTATATTGAGATAAATCCTTTGAACGTTTCTTTTTACCTATTGTATCGCTAATTTATTTTTATTATTTTCTCCTTTAGTAATTTTACGTGTTTTGTTACGCGTTATCCATTTGCATTATTATTATTATTATTATTATTATTATTATTATTATTATTATTAACATTGTTATCTTCCCTATTGCATTATAGATGTTGTTTTTTTGTGTTGTACTTGCCGGTACCACATAATACCATTTTCCTACTTGGAGTTGTCTTCCCTTTTGCTAACCAAGTCTAGCCGAGCCTCGTCTGTCCTATTGGAGGCGAGGATGAATTTGTGTAGAAGAAAACGCAACAGATTCGGCTACAATTCGGACATCAATCTCACTTACTTCGCCGGTTACCGTAGGACAGTGGCTCCCAAACGGTGCGTAACGCCTCATAGGTGTATATATAGCATATATTTTATAGACAAAGGAAAAAAAATAACAGAATTGCTTACTTCTTTTTCTCCATATCTCAAACTCTAATGAAACTTAAATAAAGTGTAAATATTTTAGATTGATAAGGAAAAAAATAACTGAATGTCCTTTATCTCATCATATCTATATATATATACAGTATGTGGATTTTAGATTGAAGCTTCAAGAAGAATGGTCTAAAATTAGTATATAAGGATTGTCAAGAAGAAGATTGGTTCTTGTAGTCGAAGATGTGCAGCTGTCATTGAGTCGAAGAAGGGCTCATTTACTAAATATTGATTGTACATGTATTTTTATTGTTTTTTGCCGTTTACATTGTTTTTCTCAATTTTGTCCCTTACTTTTTGGACGTTCCAAATTTGAAAATAAATAAATAATTGTTATAATTCTTTTCTATCCTTTGCAAATGATTCAAATTTTAGTATGTTATTATGGATGATAACGACTACCAGTTGTCAAAATTTCAGCTTTTTCACAGTTGTTATTTCTAACAAATATTAGGTTTTAAAATTTTGTCCCTTAGTTTTGGACGCTACTATATATATATATATATATATATATATATATATATATATATATATATATATATATATATATATATAGAGAGAGAGAGAGAGAGAGAGAGAGAGTTCTGGGTATGACGATAAACTACATCCGGGAGAAAGGGTTCTGATATGAAGATTAGAAGTTTTGAGAAACTTGAGACCACCCCTTAATCGCTTTTTGCTCCCCAGCTCCACCCTGACCCGGAGTGGTTGCACCTATTAAGATCCCGGCTATGGGCACATAGTGAAACTACCCCAAAAGAAAAGCACTATTAAAGTAAAAAAATAGATTTTTATAGTAAAAATGCCATATATACATTTTTATATAAAATAATTGGAACAAATCATATAGTAAAATTACCAAAGTACTCAAGAAAAAAATGTTACCATTAAATAATAATGTATATATATATATATACACAACGAAAAAGGTAAAAGCTTTATTTTGCCAGTTGGCCGTACTGTCTTTAGTGAGCTATACTTAGGTGCAGTGGTATGTATAAAAGTTTGTAGAGTTGATGTATGTGTGTGGGGTGGGACGGGTATGTAAAGCATGGCCGTGCGTTTGTGCCCACACGCGTATGTGTGTGTTTTGCTTGTGTGTGTGTGTAGGGTGGTGGTGTTAGCAAGGGCACAGACTATGTTCCAGAAGATCAAACCCAATTCATCATCGTTGTCTTCATTCTGAAAACCATGACTCGCATCATGGTCGACCATTTTGAAAGATTCTCGTCTTTCAATTTAGATTTCTCATTTCTTTTACTGTAATTTCATTCTAATAATAATAATCATCCACGATTTATTTTAAGTCTATGATGACTTTCCGAACCCGACCTCGATATCATCGTTATTTATTTCAGCCTGTAGATATCTGTCTGTCTGTATTTTCTTTCTATCCGTGCCTAATCTAATCTAATCATATCTATCTATCTATCTATCTATCTATCTATCTATCTATCTATCTATCTATCTATCTCATTCTGTTCATATTTATCTGTCTATCTATCTATATCTATATCTATCTATTCTATCTATCTATCTATATATATATATATATATATATATATATATATATATATATATATATATATATTATTCGGTTCATATCTATCTATCTATCTATCTATGTTTATATCAATTTATCTCATTCTGTTTATATCTATCTATCTATCTATCTATCTATATATATATATATATATATATATATATATATATATATATATATATATATCTCATTCTGTTCATAACTCTCTCTCTCCCTATATATATACATATATATATATGTATACACTTATGTGCATATTCTATCTATATATATCTATCTATCTATCTATCTATCTCATTCTGTTCATATTTATCTGTCTATCTATCTATCTATCTATCTATATCTATATATATATATATATATATATATCTATATATATATATATATATATATATATATATATATATATTATTCGGTTCCTATCATCTATGTTCATATCCATTTCTCTCATTCTGTTTATATCTATCTCTATCTATCTATATATATATCTCATTCTGTTCATAACTCTCTCTCTCCCTATGTGTATATATGTATACACTTCTGTTCATATCTATCTACCTATCTATCTATGTTCATATATATTTATCTCATTCTTTTCATATCTAATTGTTTATCTACACACACACATATATATATATATGTATCATTCTGTTCATAACTCTCTCTTTCTCTCTCTCTCTCTCTCTCTCTCTCTATATATATATATATATATATATATATATATATATACAATTCTGTTCATACCTATCTATTTATCTATCTCAATCTGTTTATGTATATTATATTATATTTCAATCAATGGCTATTTCTCTATCCTTCTCTTCCTTCTTTCTCTCTCTCTCTCTCTCTCTCTATATATATATATATATATATATATATATATATGTGTGTGTGTGTGTATGTTTTTATTTTTCTTTCTTATTCTTCCTTTGCCATAGTTCTAACATAACAAACCCTTTAATGATTTTACTCTATTTCATTCTATTTCTCTCTCTCTCTCTCTCTCTCTCTCTCTCTCATAGCACTCATTCTTTTTCTCTT